AAAGAGGTCGTGTACCTCGGGCTAACACTAGACATCAAGCTTCTTTTCAGGGAGCACGTTGACAAAACAAAAACCAAGTGTAACATCTTGATAAGTTCGTTGTATCCACTTATCAACAGGAAGTCAACCCTGTCTCTGAAAAATAAGCTTGCTGTCTACAAACAAATCATCCTTCCTGTAATCGAGTACGGTATGCCAATCTGGGAGAGTTGCGCAAAATGCCATCACCTTAAACTCCAAAGGATCCAGAACAAGATCCTTAGGATGGTCCTAAACAGTCCCCCGCGGACTAGAAATTCTGAGATCCACTTCCTGGCTGGAATTCAAACATTAGAAGAACGGAGAGTATTCATCCTGGAAAGGTTCAGAGACACCTGTCTGAGATCAAATCATCAGATCATACGCGATCTAGCACGTTAGGTTAAGTTATACTCGTAGTTAGGTAGGTTATCACCTTTTTCAATTCAAATAAAACACATCCCCAAAGGGATGTTCTGTAAGCTAGTTGAAAAACGCAAATATTAAATTAGAATATCAAATTAAACAAAGATGAAGAGCCAAGTAGGCTTATCAATTAAAATGATAAATCAATGTACTACCATAATCAACAGAAATAAACATAATTTTATTACTTTTACAGTCAGTTGCTGATAAATCACAATCATCATCGTGAGCAAATTTTTTCTTTAATTTGAATGTTTTGGTCTTGCTGACCCCGAAGAAATCTTCGATTGGGCGACACTGAGGCAGATTTGTCGGGTTGTGGTTTTTGGGTACAAATGGGATCGAATGGGTATTCAGGAACGATTGTGTTTTTTTGGCGTAATGCGATGACGCTTTATCCGGCCAAAACACGTATTGTCCATCAGCATGATGTTTTTGTAGAAACGGGATCAAAATTTTCTTCAAACATTCGTTCTGGCACACATATTGAGTGATTGCCAAACCAGAGTAATAAGTGAGCGAGTGAGTAGTGAGAAGTGCATTCTCCTGATCAACGGCGGGTGGTTCTCAACAAGTCTTTAACAAATAGGAGATTCTTTCAGAACAATCAAACAGTTGCGTGTTTTATTAAATTTTATTTAAAAACAGTAAACATACCATCAATTTCTCGCTGGAATAACCGAAAATAAAATAGAAAATACATCGTTCGTTAGGACTGAACGTAGTACGATATAAAAATACTCTTTCTATAGATATGATAATGGAAAATGATTATTTACAACAGATTAGGTCGCTATAGTTTTTTTGTTTATCATGAAGTCAAAGTGTCCTCTACTAAACTTAATTTAAACCATAAATCTAATTGCGGAGCGTTCTTATCTTACACATCTAGTTGAGTATTGTGATTGATGATGAAAACGTCAGGCTGTGTATGTTCCCAAAACAACCGGACAGCTTGGAAAAGAAGCGGCAGAACATGTTCTATTTACAGAGCAACTGATCGATTGCATTTTTTTTGCATCTGAGTAGCGGAAAAAATAATTAACGTCATAACTTTACAGCAGACATGATTGATTGGCAGCTGGGTTGAATCGGATCAGCTTTCGTAGATTTATGGGCAGCGTTTGATCTGAATTGAGTTGCAGAATTAAATGGGAAATTCAATCGAAGAATGTGTTATTATCTTTTTTTTTTAACTGCGGTTGATAATCCTATTTAATATTTACATCGTTAATATTAATAAAATTATAGCGTTTGGCTCGCCTTCCACCAACCAACATGAGCAAGGTGTGATGCTTTTCCGGTCGTTTTGCCATTTGATGTGAGCAATGTGCTTTAAAGCTGAAATGATTTTTAAATTTTTCACGTTGGAAAAGTTTAAAAATCACACCAAGCTTCCAGCGGCCGATTTCTGTCGTTTGTGTAACAAATTCAGAACATATAATCTAACCTAACGGATTAAAATTATGCTATTCTTAGGAAAAACTCTACTTACATAAGTGGAAGTGGATAAGTGGCGGTTTTTTTTTCGGTCGGAAATGTTCGATGAGAGTTGGTAGGTTTACGGCCTTTTATTGAATCGACTCCGATATCGCTTCCGACTTCTAGCGGTAAGTGAAGACGACTTTGGCAAGAACCATTAATACGTGCCATAAAAAATCTTCAGCTCCATAAAACGGGCCTTCCCGTGCCCGAGTGGGTGGTGATAATCGTACATCACGCAAATTTATGTTGATAAACAACTTCTCGGCGGCTCTCGGCGAGGAAGTAACGAGCACTTTTGGAGCCGCACACGCTTTCTTGGGCGGGGGAGGTAAACAATGCCTGATTTTACGGTCCAAATCAGTCCCGGGATTGAAATTATAGTTGTTGTTATAAGCGAAGGGAGTTGCTTCTTCTCAGCAGCGATTATGGGTGATGGGTTATATGTAACTTTGCTGGCCATTATTGGTGGAAGAGGATCGGTTTTCTGCCGGTAGATGGCTGCAGGGTACCGTCCAGCTGAAGGGGTTTGATCCGGTGTATCTAGCGGGGCGTTCCACTGTACGTTAGACTGGTCATAAGTCATTGGTGTGTGAATCGTCGGTTTGAGTGAGAGCAAGGGGCTACAGGATGGAAAAAAGTTATACTCCTTGCCTGGTGAATCTACTGACTGGGCAAAATCAAAATCAGAACGATTGGGACGCATACATTTCATAATTTACCGAGCAGTGCCAGTTAAAACAGCAGTCAAAATTTCGTTTATTGTGAACCAATTTGAGAAATCCCATGAACTGGTGACCCAATCACTGTACTGTACTCAGTAGACTGATGCAAAATTTGAAATTTTCGCTCCACAGTGTTCAAACGGTTCCTATTTGGATCCTGATTAGCCTTCCAAAATTTGAACTCATTTAGTAGGAAACTGACTTGGCACCCTATTACTCTGCTCTAAAAATTAATACCTGTTTTTGGCGCGTAGAATAGAGCTAAAACATCATGGCTACTATATCACACTGCAGAATACAGTGTTACCCATAAAACAGTTGCTTGATCATGCCATAAGAATATCAATCTCTTAAGCAATAGTAGCATAGTAATTCTCATATAAACTTCAAATGGTGCCCAGTCGGTTTCTTACCAAATCAGTTCAAACCTTGGGAGGCTAATCTAGACCCGAATCGAAACCACTTGAGCATTGTGGAGCGAAAATGTCAAATTTTGCATCAGTCTAGAACTCAGGTGGTGGCGACGTTGACACTAGGCAACCAAAAGTTGGTGAAAGGGCGTAGCAATAACGTCCTGTTCACAATTACAAATAGAGTAAAATTATACCCAAAATTACATTTACGCCAACAAATAAATAAACGATATTTAAAAAACATATTATTTAACTTTCCAACTTTGTGTCGAGGAGATCGAAGTAGGCTGCGCTCGACGACTGACGTGTGAATTTTTGGTGCGTGTTTTTCTTCCGCTGATTTATCAATTTTTAATTTAATGCTGCAATGCTTGTAAAGTGTCGCGAAGCTTTTAAATCAATGTTGAAAAGTGCATAACAGAAACGCGTGTGAATTGTGTGCAAGATGAGTGGGATTCAAAGCTCTTGCCGTGTAGCATGAGCAGCTGGCTTGTGGGGAACGAAGCAGAGGGTTGCCAATATGAATGTTTCGTTCTTTTCTACTAAGTTTCCCGAAATGTGCAACCACTGGGGATCGTCAAAAGCCTGGAGTATGGAGATTTGAAAGGTTCATCCATTCAACATGACGGAAGAATCAAACAAAGATAAGTTTAGTTCATTTCGAGGAATGTATCATTTGATGTTCACCCAAGCAAACACGTTATTTCGCCTTTTTGGCTATATGCGAGCCTCATCAGAACATACAATTACTGATATAGTCGTTGTTCAGCTGTGCCTATGGTTACTTGGGCAGTTTATAGTCATGAGTACGTGCGTGCGTGCAAAGAATCATTACCAACATAAGAGAAAATTCGGTAAGATCCTTCCATTGCATTATTTTATGATTCTTCAATATTGTACAAATATTTACACATTACACACAACTACACATAGTAACTCGGAGCGTTTGGTACGGTATGTCCACGCATCCTTCCACCCCTGTAGATTCAAAAAAAAATTTCCATTCATTTCCAAGAATCATCTCTGCGGCAAATACAACGCAGTAGGCCTGGCCGTATTGACTCAGATTAAATTAGACAAGAAAAATGATTAGACCTCATCTAACCTAATCATTTTCCAGGATGCTTTCTTGTACTGGCTGCGTTTTATTAGATTGGATTAGATTAGATTTAACTTTCCAACTTTGTCTCAAACGCCATTTTGATCAGAAGTGCCGTTTCCGCGCTACAGTTTTTTGAAAAATATCAGGACGCCATTTTGAAAATTTTACAAGATTCAAAATGACAGAAGTTTAGCACAAATGTGAATTACTGCCTACAACAAACAATTATGCGAAGTTTCATGCAAATCGATGAAGGTCGAATTTTTCCGCTGCTCAATGCTATAAATTTTCCCTTGTCCTACTGCTGCTGTTAATGTTTGGTTATGTTTTGACTTTTCAGTGTTTTGGAGGATCCAAACAACTATAATGCTTTCTTGGCCTGAGACTGGCGCCGATACATAACCACACATATATTGAGAAAACATGACGTCTGAACAAGCTATTTAAAGTCAGACAAAAACAGCCATCTGCCAGCCCCTCGTTCTGCCTCACAAAACCCACGCCGATCATCCATCTTGCGTCGAACCTATAATTTCCCCTGTATCCCTTTTATCGCCAGTTCCGAACAACAAAGAACGCCCGATTCGATCCACAATCGCCACGCCATGGACAACGGAAAGTAAATGAAACTACCCCCCATCCTACCGGAATCCCTTGTTCTAAGACTGCGTGTCACGCATCAACAAAGAGCCATAAAACTACCAGCTCTCACCTTACCGGCGTCGGTGAGGGAAGAACCTTTCAACGTTTTGCCGCCCATGTGGCAATTTTCTTCCCTTCCCCAATAATAAAAACAAAAACCTGAACAGGAATTGATTGCTATCACTTGAAAAGTCGCATAAAATTAATTACTAAAATAGTTTCAGTGTTTGTCCTAGGTTCTAGAGAGTCTGTCGGCCTCAGTGGCGGTGGCCCGCCTTAGCCCACGTAGGGGTAGTGGGCGTACGGGCCGGGGAAGTAACCGGGGAAGGCAGCCGCCGTCGGTTGCACCACCGGAACCGACTGCGTCACGTAGGTGGTCAACTGCGTCGGGACGACCGTCGTCGAGTAGAGCGTGGTGTAGGCCGTCTTGGCGCCGAAGGTCAGCTTCAGGACCTTGCTGTTGGTTTCCGTTACTACGATGTTGGTGACGACCGGGGTGGACTGGAGCGTAACCTGTGGCTGCTGGAAGGGGTTCAGCTGGGGGATTGGTGGAAGTGGGAGCGAGGGTAGGGTGGTGGTGACGACTTCGTAGTTGGTCTTGGTGAGGGTGCCGATGGGGCGCGAAATGGTACTGAATTTGGTGTTCTGGCCGTTGATGATCGGGAGGACGTGCGATTCGTAGATGGTTTCAAGAGTGATGATCGGTTTGGAAGAGGTGATGACGGACGGGATTTGGGCAGCAGCGGCTGGGTTAAGTAACCGGAGCAGAGCCAACTGTTGCAGTTGATCTGGGGTTAGGGACGGGGTGGATACCGGGGCTTCCGTCGTGGTCTTGATGCCTTCCTTGTGAGACGCGATCTTCTTCTTGGGTCGAATGTTTTCTGGGATGTTGGTCTTGTCGACTTCGGAGAGATCGAAATCGGATCCAATGCTGGACAGGTCCAGATCGGACGGTAGACGGTCGCGCTTGGGTTTGTCGTCGTCTTCGTCGTTTTCGTCACCGAATTCCAACTCCAAGTGCAGTTCGGATCCGGCCTCATCCAGACGGCTGTTGAACTCGTTCAAGGTCTTTGACGGGACAAACTGGTAGAGCTCCATCGGTGGCAGTGTTTTGGTGGCAGTCACCAACCGGGTCACGTGGTAAGTTTGAATCAGCGTGTAGCTCGTGGTATCCGTTCCATCACGAATCACCGGAAGGATGTGAGTCTTCAACATGACCTGAGTAGTGCTGAAGGTCTCCGTCAGCGTCTCCAGTGGTGGAGTTTCCGTGTCTCCGGTAAGCGTAATCGCTGGCAGAGTAGCGATGCTCGAGTCCAGCAGATTGCTTTCCTTGTCGATGTGGGTGGTTGTAGCCAGGATGTTCTCGGTCAGTGGTTCCGTCAGCGAGGGGGTGATGGTAGCCGTTTCCTGTTCCAAGACCTTCTCGAAAGTCGAAGTCACGGTGATGTAGCGGGTGTTCTTCACGGTGCCAACCTGAAGCAAAACCGCAAAAAAACCAATTACTGAAAAATCTAACACGACAATTACCTCATAACGTCAAACCTGGAAAGTGTAGGGTGACTTGATGGTAGCGATTTCATAGTATGTGTCCTTGAAGTCCACCGGCGTGGAAATCTCCACCTTGACCGTCTCGATCGGATACCGGCGCTCAATCTGGTTATCGTTCTCGGCATCGTTCAGCACGTTTCCGTTGACCGATCCGGACTGATCCAGGTCCGCATCGGTGTCGACCTTCTCCGAGTGGTCCGGGTTCTGCGAGATGTCATTGTACTGCACCGAGGTGTCCGAGATGGGGGCTGTAGTGAGGTTCTCCACACCGTCGCTGGACTTCTTGGATCCCGGGTGCTTTCGGATATTGACCGTCGGTTTCGGGGGGCTCTTGTACTGCCACCGTCCGGGCGAGCGGTTCAACTTGAACTTGTACAGGCTGGTGGTGGTGGTGGAGGATTCGCCCTCCGGCGGCGTTGGCCTCAGGTTTGGCTTGAACGCCCGGCGATTGGCCGCCTCCTGACTCGGGGTTGCTGACGACGCTGGGCTAGATATGGTAGAGCTAGGCTTGAAACTGTTACGAGAAGCTTTGTTACGCCTGTTTGCGTAGGCGGGAGTGGTGATGGTTTCACTAAAAACGGACACCGTCGCCAGTTCCACACTGGATGAGGAGAATCGGTTAAAGCGGGTGCTGCAAAAACAGGGTTAGGTGGTGGGGGTGGTGGTGGTTTGTGGTGTCGGTGAGGGATAGGGTGGAACGGGTGGGAGGAAAAGAAAACGGAAAAAAACATATTTACAGTCACCGTGGGTGTGTTGAGAGTATGTGTATGTGTGGGTGTGTGTGTGTGTGCTTATGTATCTATGTATAGGTGGGCTGTGGCGTGTTGGTTTTGGTGGTCTCAATTGAACTGAAATCGCAATCCAACACTCTATGTACATTACATGCGGGGGTTTTTTTTTTTTGGTTTTGGGTGTGTATTGAGGTGAATTGGCAGGACAATCATAAATGTCTTCACCTTGGAATAGAAAGCTCATTGCCCAAACACTGAGAAAACGTGCAAATTTTGATCGTTGGCTGTACGCAAATCGAAAGATGGAACACATTCATACTTACTCATTCATACGAATACTGTCTGATTGAGGACTGAAAGAAGAGATTCATTAGTCATAGGTCTAAAGTGATTTGCTGTCATTCGTCGGTCGGTGCCGTTCTACACGAAGAATTGATGTGGTATGTAAATCATAATTAGCGTCAAGCATACTTTCACCGAGCATCATTGTTGTGATATTTCACGGAGACATACAGTAAGTGAAAATGTGCAAGTTGTAAAATCATGACTTGGTGATCAATGGATTCATGTTCGATCTTGAGAATATTCTTGAACCTTCATTGGTCATTGCAAGGCTCCGGTGCAGGTGCCAAAAAGTGTGCCAAATGTGCCACTTGAATGTCGTTTCACCACTTTCTCTTACCTGTCATCATCGCTTGAGTCAATCAGTTGATAAGGAAAATAATTACAGCAAAAATCATTTAGATTTGCTACTCCAAAGGGCTTTATTGTGGATCATTGATTTCATCAGCAGGTGCCATTAATATTGCTGGAATTTGTCGTGAAAGTCTCCAGATTTTTTTTTAAATCCCTCGGCATGCCCTTGATAAATAATTTCTGGACTTGATCAGAAAGTTCTTCGGACTTTTTTTTAAAGATTCTTGGAGACCTGTGGTCTTTCTCTTGATTAACTTGGAAGCCTTCACGCCAATGTTAACAATGCTCTTCAGAGTCTCCAAACATGGTTTATAATCAATTTGGCATCCTTTCGGTTTTACTCGATGTGCCCCGGAAGTTGTCTAAACATTTGCATTAGACTGATACACAATTTTGAATTCTTGCTTCAAAGTGCTCGAACGGTTTCAAATCGGCTTCAGATTAGCCTCTCAACAATTCAACTCATTTGGTAAGAAACTGACTTGGCACAAACCATTTGAAGTTTATATGGAAACTACTATGAGAAATCTAAATTTGTTGATCATTGCTCTCTAGCCTTTTATTCCATATTACACTGTTAAAAAGTTCTTTTGCTATTTTTATGGGAAATTTTCTCAGCTACAAGTTTGTAGAAGTCAATTTAAATAATTATTAATTGGGTACTTTGGGTTTTGAAAAATTTATCGGTTTTTATACACCATCTGATAGAGCTTTGTTTTCTAACCACAACGATATTTTTTTCGAACCCATAGACGTTCATCTCGATTTTCAAATAAAGATTTAAAGCAAAATAATATTGCCAGTTCTCAGAAATCCTAGCATTCATTAATTTTTCAGAAACAAGAAGAAAACACAACCGCAGTTGTCATACATTCCAAACACTGACACAAAAACATATTATCAAATTAATTGTAGACTTCAAACTTTTATGAAATTCAGATCCACTCTAAATTATTTTTTCTCATACCCGTTCTGGCTCAGGTTCGGGCAGACTCTAATATGTAATCACAACCGGATAAATTATATATGATTCTTAAACCAAATTTTCTGACCTTTTATGTGAGGTTCTGCGGATATCAAAGAACTCTGTTCGTCCCGAATGTCAAGCATTTTACCATGAAATATATTTTGGAAGTTTGAGAGTAACAAATATCGTTTATTGTCCGTTTAAGGACAAAATGAACTCTTTTCCGATAACCCGCTAGATGGCTTGGATGACGGCTTCAAACGTATTGAGAATAGTTGGATCGCTAAAGGATCACTCTATAAACTTATCTGGTTTACCAAATTTAACTAAATTGCAGGCTAGACAGCAGGATGAACTTTCGGTATATGTTTAGGCATGATTGGTGGGTTGAAGGGCGGCTGGACTGTTAGCTCGATTATTGACTGCATCACTTTGTACATAAAATATTTTTACTTTTTATTTTATCCGATCTAATTGATGCAAATCGGGGATGGCAGAGCTGAAATGCTATAGATCCACAAACAAACTTCCTTTTTCTTCGATGTTCAATCCGAACTTTCATTTGCTTTATTGATGTTTTGTGATGCTTTTCGCGTGAGGACATAGCCTTCTGCGAATCGTTTTGGTTCAGTGCTTCAAAGTTTCATTGGCATTGGCTGTCAGTGACGATTGTCAATTTCAGTTGTCACATCTGACGCCGAAAGGTAATTTTTCTCTGTATTAGCAATAACTTCACTGTTTGACACTAAACTTACAAATTGACAGCTCACTCCCATACAAAGTCCCACCTAGGGGTGCTAAGATGGTATTTTTATCCAATGTAATCGCATTTTTTATAATAGTTCCAGGGCACCAAAATTGATGATATTCTGGATTTTGGCTCCATTTGACATGCAGATTACGTATATGAAATTACCTCACTAAAGAACCCAATTATTTAAGAGATTGATAATCTTATGGCATGATCAAGCAGTTGTTTCGTAGGTAAAACTGTTTTGTGCAGTGTGACCAAAGAAGAATACTAAGATGAAACAGTTGAAAGAAAAACTTTCTATTTTAGTGTCCTCTTTCACGGTCCCTTTCTTCCAAGGAATACCCTTCGTATGCAAGGTAATTTTGTGGTTTTGATGCCTCCTCGGTAGATATGAATAATATGAATTTTGCTCTTTTTATCAAAACAATCACACCAAAGTTAAAGATGTCCCAATTTTTAATGACTCGATTAACAACTAATCGATTATTTTTTGTTCGCTATGCTGTCATTTTTCCATCATTGAGAGAGCAGATCATGTTTGGGTGATGATCCTCTGGAGAAGTTAATGCTTATATCGGCATGATATAACCGATTACAAATATTTTTTTTTACTTATCGGTTCGTTAATCGATTGATAGATTATTCAAATGAAAATCGGCCATCATGGTAACTGAAAATTACGTCCCCATGGTAACTGAAATAATCACGAGTGCTGCCCATGGTAACTGAAGTAAACCGGTGTGTGGCGTAGTGCTCTATTAAATGCTCCAAAAACACCAATGTTGCTGCTAAATAGTTGATTGAGCATAATCATAAGACATCAGTGACTTGAATCTTTAATAACTTTTGTTCTTTGCATCGAAAAGTGGTCTACAAGCAAAGTTATCATTTTGAAGAGCAAAGCGATATGGTGGATTGTGAAAGAGATAAAAAATGGTTTTCCCCAGCTAGCTGGCATCCCTATCTTGTTTGCCTTGCCTTGAAAAGAGCTAACATCGCTGCGGGCCCGCGAATTGCGGGCCCCACTGACAGCTCATAATTTGTAAACAAATAGAAGATTCAAGCCAGAATTTCAAAAAAGGCGTGACTGATATTATGGATATTCTTAATATTTTTGCTTACATTTTGTGAAAAATAAACTTAGGACTCATAAAATATTATTTTCTGATTTTCTTCCACGAAGTCAACCATTTATATGGCATAAAAGGGAAAATAATTTCATTTGATAAAAATAAGACAATTCAGTCACGCCATTTTTGCAGTTCACACTGGAATTGTGACGTTTCAGATGTTGGTTTCAATAACATGGCGGCATGCCAGCCAGCTGGTTTTCCCATAGTAATTTCCATATACACTTCAAATGGTTTGTGCCAAGTCTGTTTCGTTAACGGCGCCGGTGGTGTAGTGGTAAGCGTGATTACCTCTCACCCCAGCAGGCCTGGGTTCAATCCCAGTCGGCGCCGCCGGGATGTTCTGAGGCATAACATCTCTGATCACGCCTTCCTTCGGATGGGAAGTAAAGCCGTTGGTCCCCGGTTCATGAGTTGATGGGTCGATAGGTAGGGTCCAGGTGTGGAAGCTGCTTTCCTGGCACGTCGGTAGCATTGGTGCTCAGCACGGAAAACAAGATCGGCGGAAAAAACAAACCAAAGGAAAAAAAAAAAAGTCTGTTTCGTACAAAATGAATTGAAATTTCGAGAGACTAATCTGGAGCCGATTTGAAACCGTTTGAGCACTAGGCAGCGAATATTTCAAATTTTGCATCAGTCTAATGCTCATGGATTTCAAGACTCTATTCGGCGATCGGAGTTCCAATTTCCTGGTCAAACCAAGTGAAATATCTTGGATTAGTTCTTGACCAAAAATTAACTTTTAAAGATCACATTGAGGGCATTCAAGCCAAATGTAACAAATATATAAAATGTTTGTATCCTCTTATAAACAGGAAATCCAAACTTTGCCTGACGAATAAACTTCTAATATTTAAACAAGTTTTTAGACCGGCCATGCTTTACGCTGTGCCAATATGGTCTTGTTGTTGCACTACCAGGAAAAAAGCACTTCAAAGGATTCAGAACAAAATTCTGAAGATGATTTTGAAGTTGCCTCCCTGGTACAGTACTACCGAAGTACATAGAATTTCGAATGTTGAGACTTTAGCACAAATGTCCAACAAAATAATTAATAATTTCCGGCAAAAATCGTTACAATCCTCAATTGCAACGATTAATTCCCTTTATACTTAGATAAGATTTAGTTTTAGTTATTTAGTTTTAAGCTATCAATTGTTATACTGACATGCAGGTTTAAAAAACCTGTTTAAAATACTGAATTGCCAAGACAGGAACAATGTAAAAACACTTAGATATATATCATAAAAATTAAGGCTGGTAAGTTACTGTAGTAACTGGAGCACCTAGGTTAAAAATGAAATGTAATTTATTTTGAATTTGGAACAAATAAAGAGTTAAAAAAAAAAAGAC